CCCATAGGGTCAATTCCAACTCATGACAACCCTATATAGTGTTTCTGAGGCTATAAATCTTTCTGGGTCCACATAGTCTCCTCTTTCTCCAGCAGAGCAGCTGTGGGTTTGAATTGTTGGGCCTGCAGTTAGCAGTCCAACACTTAGCTGGCAGTGCCACCAGGACTACACTTACAGAATATAAACCTACCAAAACAGGCCTGTAAACTTATGTGGCATTGTGGTAGCTACATAATCTGGTGTCAATTTGGGACTTGAAAAGATTAAGAGTAAAGGAGTGGAGTCTAGTGTGTCAATCGGGCCACCATAGCCAGTGAGGCCTCTGTGTGGGCATGCCCTTCTGAGAATTCTGGGAACTCCTGTATTTCCTCCTTAGAGGCAGAAAGACCCACTCTCTCTCAGCTTACATCCTTGGAGACTCTCCACTGACAAGACTCACTCTCTGAGAGACACTCTACTGATGAGACACATGGTACTACACCCTAGGAGCTGGAGAAGCCACATGGACCTACCCTGATGCAACCAGACCTCTGGAGCTGAAAAAGCCACGTAAAGACCCCGGTCAGCACAAGATGCTTACAATGTCACTGGACCCAAAGACTTTGTACCCACTAGCCTGTGATCGTCCTGCATTCGGCATCGTTACATGTATTTCCTGAGTCTGAAGAGGACTTAATAAATTGGTATCAGACATATGGGCTAATATTGAACTTATGGATTTGATCTGGACTGAGCTGGGTGTTTTCTCAACAATCAATTGCTCTTGTATATAAACTTCTTTCTTATATACATAGGAGTGTCTATGGATTTGTTTCTCTAGTCTACCCGGGCTGACACAGGCATGTGTATAATCATCACTGTTAGCACCTTAGGAACTGGGGTTTATTACTGCATTACAAATGCCCATAGTGGCACCTGGCATGCAGTGGGTGCCAACTATTTGCTGACTTCATAAATATATATAAATGGGGGGCAGGGGGGGAATATGTTTAAGAAAATTAGTACTTGGGCAAAAAACTTCATTTACATATTAATATCTAACTGTGGCAGTTACATAATTTCCTGTCCAACCTGAGTGAAGGGGTGGAGCCTAGCCTGTCAATCAGGTTACAGCTTGATGACCTAATTTGGAGGCATGACAGAGATAAATAGCTCACTGGAGGCCAGACCCACTCTCTCTGCCTTCCCTTCCTGCTGCTGAGACACTCAGAGAGTTGGAGGAGACACGTGGAGACCCACACCAGCATTGAGATGCTTCTACTGCCACTGGATCCACAAGACATTCTACCCATTGGCCTCTGATCGTCCTGCATTCGGGATCATTGCATGTGCTCCAAGAGTCTAAAGAGGAATTTATGGACTAGCGTCAGACATATGGGCTAATATCAGACGTATGGACTTGATCTGGGCGGGGCTGGGATGTTGTCTTAATATACAATTAATCTTTGACATAAAGTTCTCTCTTACGCCTAGATGAGTGCCAATGAAATTGTTTCTATAGTTTACCCAGACTAACACACTAACAAAACTGATTCGTTTAAAAGTTTTTTAAAACTATAAGGTCCAGAGAAAGCAAAAACGTGGATCTGGATTAAGACATACTTCAATAGTTTAATCCACTGAAACGGACCTGGTTACATTATGGAGTACATTATAAGAATTAGTGATATATCTTTTTTAAGTAATTGGACAAAAATGAGATAATCAAGTAAACTAAAGATTTCATCTACAAGGAGTTGAGTTTCCATTCATAGTACTGGAAAACTTGGCAATAATTATTGGTGAGCTTTCCAGAATATGATTAATGTAATTGATATCATTAAACTGTATACATGAAAAACAATGAACTGGCAAATGTTGTGTAATATAAATAGTTTGCAATATTTTTTTAAAGGCTCCTTCCTACAACAAATGTAAGTATTGGCGATTAAATATAAAATAAGAAATTTTCTTCATGCAATTAAGTAATAAAATATTGCTATACTCCATCTTTGAAAGAAGCACAGTATATGCTGGGAAACAAGAGGGCTTTAGAAAAGATAAAAAATGTTTGCACACCTAGAAATATAGTAGACACACACTACAGCATCTGAGAACATGAAAATGCCATACCTGCATGCAAAGTACAATGGAGTGGCTCCTGACACATTTGGCCTGTTAATATCAGCACCACTGTCTAGCAAGCACTGCACCGTCTGGGGAGAAAAAAGAAACAATTAAGAACAATGTCAAGCAAGACATAATCATTACAATTTTAACTCATGCAGCTATATAAGAGCAGGAGGAGCCCTAGAGGCACAGTGGCTACTAAGTGCACGGCTACTAGAGCACTACAAGATCAGTAGCTCAAGCCTACCGTGTGTAGTCTGCTTCCATAAAGAGGACAGCCTCGGGAACCCCACAGAGCAGCTCGACCCTGTCCAACTGGGTCAGACTAGGAGTCAGAATTAACTCAGAGGCAACGGCTTATTTGAGGGGGCTTCAAAAGTTGTGACAAATGGAATTAAAAGATAAAGGAATTTATGATTTTTTTTGAAATCCCCTCATATATGCACACCTATGTTCACTGCAACATTATGCACAAGAGGAAAACAACCTAAAAACCCATCAGTGAAAGAATAGCTTAATTATGGAACATACGCAAGAAAACACAATGCAACAGTAGGGAACAGCAATGAACCCGCAAAACATCTCACAACTTAGATGAACCAAGAGGATATTATGCCAAATGAAGTCAGTCAATCACATAAGGGCAAATACTGTATGGAACCACTATTACAAAGAGATAAGAAATGGTTTACACGCAGAAAGAAACATTCTTTGATGGCTACCAGGGATGAAGGGGAAAATGATAAATTACTAACTAGATAGTACACAGTAATAGAGGTGAAGGAAAAGGCAATAACAAGCACAATATATACCTAGGTTTGGCAGAAGATATTCCTACACACGTCATCTGTATGTACAATAAATATATTTACGAATAGTATATACCAGAGGTTGGCAAACTGTGGCTCACAAGCCATATGAGGCTCTTTCGGCATGTACATGTGGCTCTGAAGTAAGACTGAAAAATTTTAAAGGATATTATTCAGATAATGGTGATTTCATTTGTTTGTAAAAATATATTTATGGCTCTCGAATGATTTTTAAATTGCTGTACTGGACAGGATTGGCTCTTCCATCTCAAAAGTTTCTGCTCCCTGTTATACAGCATTCAGGGGCAAAGTCCTGAAAATACCTTAGCCATAACCAAACACCTTGAAAGAGTGAATCACTGGGCTTGAGGGCTTAAGGCTACCGTCTCCGGGCACATGTAGGTCAACTGGCATAGCAAAGTCCACAAAAAAATATTGATGGATTTGAATTATGGTGCTTAAGAAAAATATTGAATGTACCATAAACTGCGCAAAGGACTAACCGAGCTGTCTTGGAAGAGTACGGCCAGAGGGCTCCTTAGAGACAAGGATGATGGCAACATTTCATCTTACGTACTTTGTACATATTGTCAGGAGAGTCTACTAGGTCCCTGGAAAGGGGCATCGTGTTTGGTGGCGGGGCAGTGAAGGAGAAGAAGGCCCTTAATGAGATGGATTGGCATAGTGAATGAAACAATGGGCTCAAGCACAGGAACAATTGTGAGGATCGCACAGATCAGGTAGTGTTTCATTCTGCCATGCTTAAGATCGCTATGGGTCTGAACTGACTCAATGTCACCTAACAGCGATCCACAAAGACAACAGTCTATCTCCTACTTTGGTTAGTGGTGAATGACATTTTAAAGGCTTGTTACAAGCTATCTAAGACACAACTACTGGTCTCTCCTCTGTTAATGTACAGAAGAGTGAAGAAAATTAAAAACTCAAATAATGAACCAAAGTATCCACTATCCAGAGACCAGAAGATTTAGATGGCTCTTGCTAGCTACCAATCCTCAATTGTTTGATCATGGTCATACTAGCAACAGAGCAGCAAAGGGAGCAAAGCAACGAAGACGCTGTGGAATGCTGAAAATAGACTTCTAACTCAGGGGGTAAGGTTTGGCACCTCATCAGACCCAATCAGAAAACATTCATAAGGGTCAACAGACAGGCCTGGAACTATTTAAAGGATTCCACCCACCCCATGTCTATCTTTATAAAATAAACAGGATTGTTTACAATCCCGACGAGAAAACAGGAACAATAGTTGTAGGGGGATACAGAAGAAGAAGAGGCAGGAGAAAGGGAGGGAGGAGCCAACCCAGCCAGGGACAAGGTAACAATAAGAGATCTAAAAGCAATGGTGAAAAAGGCACAGAATGCCTGGCGAGGTTGGATCAAGTGCACTGTAAATGAGAGGAATTACTGAGAGCTAAATGAAAGTCAAAAACGATAGTGAGACAGGAGGAAAGTAAAAGAAAATAAGAGGAAAGAAACAGGAGGCAAAAAACATTTATAGAAGTATAAATATAGGCAGGTAGATATGTAAATATATAGCAATAATACACAACATTAGTATACAGAAATATAGATATAGATCTATATATATATATTTATTTATATGTTAAATATTAAGGTAGCACACAGACATTGAGCCTTCACTCAAGTCCTCCCTTAGTGCAAGAACTCTCTAATAACCTGACATTCTGTGATGCTCACCTTCCCCACACAATCACTAACGACAAAACGGGTGCATAAGCAAATGTGGTGAAGAAAGTTGATGGTGCCCAGCTATTACCATAATAGTAGCCATCTAGCAGAGAAGCAACAAAACCCACATGGAAGAAGTACACCAACCTGTGTGATCACGAAGTGTCGACAGGATCAGGTATCAGGCATCAAAAAACCCAAAACAATCATATTGATGTGAACAAGGGGGGTCAGAGTGGAGACCCAAAGCCCATCTGTAGACAATTGGACATCCCCTCACAGAAGGGTCACAAGGAAGGGATGAGTCAGCCAGGGTGCAGTATTGCACCAAGGAAACACACAACATTCCTCTAGTTCGTTAATGCTTCCTCCCTCCACTATCATGACCCCAGTTCTGCCTTACAAGTCCGGCTAGACCTGAGCGTGTACACTGGTACAGATAAGAGCTCTCCACACATGGAATCCAGGACAGATAAGCCCTGCAGGAACATTAATGGTAGTAAGAACACCATGAGGGTAGGGGGAAGGTGGCGGGAGAAAGGGGGAACCGATCCCAATTATTGATGTTTAACATACACCCCATCCCAGACCCCACCCCAGGGGTACTAACAGGGCAAAGAAATGTAGGTAAAGAAAGACAGCAGACAGTGTAAGACATTAAAATAATAATATAATAAAATAATAATAATTTAAAATTTGTCAAGGGTTCTCGAAAGTGGGAGGGTTGGGGAGAGAGGGAAAAAAGAGGAGATGATACCAAGGACTCAAGTAAAAAGAAAATGTTTGGAAAATGATGACGGCAACATATGTACAAATGTGCCTGATACAACTGACGAATGGGTTGTTAGAAGAGCTGTAAGAGCCTCCAATAAAATGATCTATAAAAGAAAAAGAAAGAAGGACTGGCAAGTTCATTCACTTCAAAACAGCTATTTAATCTAAGTTAAATTCACATGCCTAGACAGCTATATGTGGTTAGTTTTTAAAATACTACCAATTCTACAACCCTTTAATGTTTACACAATAGTTTTCTACATCTGGGGAGAAAGTCAGGACCTTCTACTCCTGTAAAGAGTTACTGTCGCAGAAACCCACAGGAGCAGTTCTATCCTGTCCTACAGGGTCGCTATGAGTCGGCATCAACTTGATGGCAGTGAGCTTTATACATCTATTTTGACTCTAGAGCTTGTGAAATGAAAACAGATTTGCCATCAGGCTAACATAATCCTCTACTGCTCTCAACAAAGTAATGGGGCAAACTTTGGTCAAATCATGATTTACAACATGAACTTTCATATGCTCCTAATATAGTTTTATATAGGAAATATCCTCCAAAGACATTAAAAATGTCTTTCTTTTATAAGAGAGAAAATTATGTTGACGATGAAATAGTTCATTCCAGCATTTTCTATTTCATTAAGAAAAACTCTTTTTTGATTTTAAATCTACCCCAATTAAGATCCTCAAAATAGCCAACTAGTTAAAATAATCGGTTTTTATGAAAAAGCTCTCAATAACTTCACTTGTGACTAAAGATGAAGAGGGTACGGAAAAAACACTTCCCTGAAAGTAGGGATAAAAAATATATATAAAGGAATTTGAATGTGATAAATAAAATGTGTCTTGTATCACTGTAATAAGAAGTCAAAAATCTTTCTTTTTATACAGATACTTGTTTTCTAGTGCCTTTTTTAAAAAAACTCTGAAACAGAAGGGGGGGATAATGCAGAATTCAGTCAATTCTTCATTAAATGGTATAATAGGAGGAGCAGCAAGAAAATCACAGAGAACCTAAATTACAGTTTTAAAAAAAATGCCCTGCTAGTTCTCCGAGGGGGGAAGAGTAATGATAATGCAAGTGAAGCTGGGTCCTCGGTTGCATTCCCCTCAATCATTAGCAGAGGGCAGGGTAGCAGCTGGCCCAGGACGTAAGCACATCTACCTGGAGCGGCACTAGGAGAACAGACACTGACAGCAAGCCCTATTAGTGCACTGGCAGTGCCTACCGAGCCCTGTTGGAAAGGAGAGCTCTCCAGGGTCCCTTACTACACCTTAATTGGACAGGCTTTAATGTACAAATTGGATTTTCATTCTTAGATAATCCAAAGTGACAATATTTCCATGGTAAAGCAAAAAGTCTAGCCAGAACGGCAAAGTAAATTTTGCTGATTGACAATACATGTGTATGTTCTCAGCATAAAAGATTCAGATAGATAACTGCCCTAATACTTATTGCCTAGACTTAACAACTTGAAAGTTTTATAAATTTGTATATATATTCTTCAAAAGTTCTGTAAAATAACATTTTTGATTATGTAAGAATTATTTATATTTGTACAAAGAGCAAAACAATACACTACTAAGACTTACGTGGAGGACTAATATTTCCTGAGCGCTTACACTTCAGCTCTTGAAGAAACTACTTCTTGAGAATCTTAAATTATCCAGAAGCCTAAAGCACAACTTAATTAAAGAGAATGACTTTTTAAATCCAGCAATAGATACAAAACAAATTAGGGAAGACCTTTTATGAAAATCAACACCATTAAAATGCACTGCACTTA